TCAGCTATTACAGTAAAATGAAATCTTATCATTTGCAGCAACATGGATGGAACTGGAAACCAATCATGTTAAGTGAAATAAGTCAGGCACATAAAGACAAATACCACATATCACTCATATGTGGAATCTAAAAAAAAAAAAAAAAAGGAAAAGAAAGTGGTTCTCATAGAAGTAGAGAGTAGAATAATGGTTACCAGAGGCTGGAGGGAAGGGGGGTGGTGGGGAGAGGTGGTAGACTAACAGGTACAAAACTATGCTACCTACCTAAGTGAATGATTTTGCAGTATATAGTAGATGCACGTATTAAAACAACACACTGTACCCCACAACATACATAAAGGCAAATGTTAAAATTTAAAAAAATTTTTTTAATCAAGTTGAAAAACTATGTATATGAGGGTACTTCAACAAGTTCACAGAAGAACTCATACTATCTTTTAATTCTATTTTCCACAAACTTTTTTAAGTACCCTCACACAATATATCATATATATTAAGCATTCCCATTATAATATATATTTTCTACAATTACATATAAGTAGATGCAAATACACAGAAAAAGAACAGAACAGACTAAACCAGTAACAGTCCCTGGAGGTGGTAGTCAAAGACATCTTTATGATAACTGTAATTTTTTTTTTTTAAGAAAAACGTTATTTGTGTATAAGTTGTATAATTAAAAACTAATTGTAAGGGGCCGAGCCCATGGCGCACTCGGGAGAGTGCAGCGCTGGGAGCGCAGCAGCGCCATGGGTTCGGATCCTATATAGGGATGGCCAGTGCACTCACTGGCTGAGCGTGCTGCTGCCAGTCTCAAAAAGGACAAAAAAAAAAAACTAATTGTAAGAGTCAAGGGGAGAAGGCCAGCCCGTGGCTCACTTGGGAGAGTGTGGTGCTGATAACACCAAGGCCACGGGTTCGGATCCCTATATAGGGATGGCTGGTTAGCTCACTTGGGAAAGCGTGGTGCTGACAACACCAAGTCAAGGGTTAAGATCCCCTTACCGGTCATTTTTTCATGAAAAAAAAAAAAAGAGTCAAGAGGAGAAATTATAAGGGTCTTGCTTCATGCAGCGATAGTAAAACAATGGAGAGCAGACAAACCTGGTAGGATCCACTTCAAAGCTAACATGCTGCCAGTCAGAGGATGTGATAACAATTCGTAATAAAGGATCCAGGAGTTTTTGTAGGTAGGTAGCACCATATACCTAAAGAAACACACAAGTAGCAATTTATTATACATGCTCTATATATTTTGCATTAAAAGAAGACAATCTGCTCTGCACATTCTGTAAATAATCATTGCCTGACATACCTTAGCACAAAATTAAAAAAAAAAAAACAATACAAACCTTGAAACAGAATGTCATTATTTTACTGGCCAAGCTGTTGCCTCGGAAAAGAGTCTGCATGGAGTCTGCCAATTCTACTTCCTTAGAAAACATGTTCCAGAGCAGTTGGTAGAGTAAATGCCGAGAATCAAATAGAGTAACCAGAACTCGAGCTAGTTCATCCTAAGAACAAACCAAATTGTGTTAAGTGAACAATCCCATTTTTTTCTTAAGCAAGAGGCTGAATATTGGCAAGAAGGCAAATCCAAATTGACAGCCGCCTGCTAAATCAAGGTAGATGGTGACTAATATTTCCCCTGAGATTTATCTGTGTACATTTGTCTATGATAGGTGACTGTATGTCTACAATAGCTGTTAATTCTATGGATTAATTGGTGAAGGATAAGAAAGGCCTAGGTTTTACCAGGAAACAAAAATTCCAGGATTCAGCTCAAATTATATTGCAAAATAGACAGACTGACAGCAAAGAGTTTAGTTTGATTTGTACAAATCATTTTCTTAGAAAATCATTGAGCAGAAATGAGACTTTGGGGACCAGAAGAGCTCTATTCTCTCCTCACATGGGTAGGGGAACTCAGTGAACACTGAAAATGGACTAGGCAGAGAAACAAAAAAAATGGAAAGACTATAGGAAAACTACTGGAAATTCAGAACCCAGAGATCAGCCAGATTTCTAGGAGGGGGTCAGTAGGAGCCGAACTTCCCATCTATTACCTCAATGATAACCATTATAATTCCCTACAGTAAAGTAGTTTTTGATACACTCAAGAAAAATGATCTGATAGTAAATCACCGTATAACCAAATGTTGAGAAGAGATCTGGAGAGAAAAGGGGTAGCCATAAAAAGATGCCTCAACCCTCAAGCAGTGACAACAAAAGCCAGAATCATGGCCCACAGCCCTCTAATTCTTGCCTGATCCCAGATTACAATAATCTGATATTTAAGTAAAGGAAAAAGTTTAATAAGCCTAACAACAAATAATCTAGAAGCCAAAAATTATGAAGACCCAACATTCTGCTTTACCCTCTATGGTTACATAATATATATTTGACTAGATATAAAAACTCCAATTATGAGAAACTATTTTTAGACTATTCTTCTAAATTTTTTGCTCCAATCCCTCCCCACTAAATTCTGAAAACTTTAGGCAACAGAATTTAAAAACATATTTACAAAACAGAATTACATTTTTTTTTTCGTCCTTTTTGAGGCCGGCCGCACCACGCTCAGCCAGTGAGCGCTGTGAGCGCACCGGTCATCCACATATAGGATCCGAACCCGCGGTGCTGCTGCACTCCCAGCGCCACACTCTCCCGAGTGCGCCACGGGCTCGGCCCAAGAATTACATTTTAAAAATATCTTGTATTCAGTTCTCCTTTAGATACAGCTCTAACAGATCTGGCCTAATATAAAATTCCTTCTCAAAATAAAGTCATTTAATATATAAAACTTATTAGAAATGATTTATTGTAAGAAAACAAAATGAATTAAAGCTTTTTGACTTAACTGATTCCTTTTTCATTAGGAGAAAATACTGAGTATTTTTAGTGCTAAATACAGGTAGGTGTTAAAAAGCTAATGCGGAATACCCATTTTCAAAACATTTGAAGATCTGAACTAATTTCAGACTTCAAGAGAATTTCAATAATTTGTGGGTGTATGGCTTACCAATGTGTATAAAATTTTAGTTATGCAAGATGAATAAGTTCTAGAGATATGCCATGCAACGTCATGTCTATAGATACCAATCCTGTACTGTACATTTAGAAATCTGTTAATAGGGTAGATCTCATGTTAAGTGTTCTTACCAAAATAAAACAAAATCATCAGAGGAAAAGCATTTGACATGGTAGCGGCAAGGGTACTCCAAGGCAGAAACAAGTCTAACATGTTTGAGGAATAGAAGGTAGCCAGTATGGCTTAAGTTTGGTGAATAAAAAAGTAAAATGGCATAAAATGATATCAAAGATGAGGCAGGGCCCAGATCAGGTACAGCCTTGTAGGCCAGGGTAAGGATTTTGAATTTTACTCTAAGTATGAGAAATATGATCCTGCAGCTTTAAAGCAAAAACAAACCTAAAGGCAATGACAGATTACTGTTATAATTTAATACAGTGAAATAATATTTGGTACAACATAAACCAAATGGCTTTTTAACATGGAAAAGGACAACAACCCTTTTCAAAGGTTTAGCATATATTATTAAGAATGATGTGGTTTTAAGAAAATTTTTCATTAAATTAAGAGGGAGGCCAAATAGCCATATTATGTCTTCAGTGTTAAAATGAGCATTATAACAATTTCAAATGCAAAATAGAGTGCTTTTTTAAAAAAAATTGTACATTACAGAAAAAAGAATAGCGAACTGGAAGTAGTAAATAAGCACAAATCATGGATTCCAGTTCTATTGTTACTAACAACTAACTAAAATTCGGTTTAACTTAATTACCTTATCTATAAAGACACTGGACCAGATTAGCAATTTTTAATTTTCTTTTAATCATTGTCTAAATGAAATTTTTCAGTGGGGTGGAATGAGAGAACACTAGAGTAAGGGCTAGCAGCGCCAACCACTCCCCACACCTGAATACCACTCAACTAAATGTCTAGTTTCTTCCAGCTCTAAAATTTTACCAATTCGTTAAATAAACATTTATTGAACAAATATATTTGGAAGCATTTGCTATGTGCCAGCTATTCTTCTTTCCTACTTCTCAATAAACTTACCCACTGAGAACAAGGGACCACATTGGCCAGAGCCATAGCTATAGGAAGCTCTCCCTGATCACCCATCATTGTGACCAGTTCCACCAGTCTCTCAAACCGATCTGCCAACACCGTTTCTGCAAGTGTGTCAAATTCTGTGCCTTGTTGAAGGATTTTTGTAAGAACTTCCATAAATGTAGCTCTTGTCTGGAGATCCTTGTGATAACCTAAACCTGATATGGACAGATAGATGCAAATTTATTAACATGGCCTTGCTGAAGTAATCTTTACTTGTCTTACATGCCAGTTCTCTAAGCTTTATATTTCTTTATGAAGCTTTCATTTGATCTTACCTATTGAGTGCATGAGCCCACTGTCCACATTAGCATTGAGTAAGTTTGACATTGCAAGGACTGTACAGTGCCTCAGTGATGCCAGCCTCCGAGACATGCCACGTTTCCTGCCACCTGTTTGTGCATTTTCATCTTCAACTTCACTACAGTCATTCAAAAGGTTCATAAATAATGTGAAGTACCTGAGAAATAAGAAGACTGACCCTTACACACTGAAGGCCACATCAACCAGAAAGCTAACTAGACATTCTAAAATAATCACATGTGCATCACATGAGTGGCCCTGGGGTATCTGCTTCTCTCTAGCCTTGGGGTAATCAGCCCCGGTGGCTCATTATGAAGAGTGCTGTGTTGAATACGATTTTATCCTAATAAAGCCCAGTACACGTTTCATAACATAAACACCAAACAGATGCAATGTTTCCTGGTAAAAGCGTCACTTTTTAAGGTTTAACATATAAAATTAGTGCTCCAAACAGTTTAGACAATGTCATTCAAAATGACTTAATGAAGCAGCTGGGTTTCACTAAAAGTAAAAATTCATTGATCACATTATTTTGTTTAAAAACCACAAACACAGTCGTTTT